TTCTTTCTTTCTTTCTTTCTTTCTTTCTTTTCTTTTCTTTTCTTTTCTTTTTTTTTTTGGTTTTTCGAGACAGGGTTTCTCTGCGCAGCTTTGTGCCTTTCCTGGAACTCACTTGGGAGACCAGGCTGGCCTCGAACTCACAGAGATCCGCCTGCCTCTGCCTCCTGAGTGCTGGGATTAAAGGCGTGCGCCACCACTGCCCGATGCCATCTGCTCTTTCTACAGGGCCACTGCTGGGGTGAGACTTAAGGGACTGGATCAGGACACCAAGCATCGAAGTCCAGCCCAAGTCTAAGAAGCCCCTCTGTGTCTACCTGCCCGCCCACAATGCATGCAGAAGTATTGGCACTGAGTGGGAGAAGGGAAGGCTCAGGCCACAGCTCGAGGACTTCAGGGCACAGATAAGAGGAAAGCGTGAGTCTACTGCCTTTGAGGGCTTCATTTTAGGTTTCCTGGCTTCACACAGATCTCCTGCTCTGGCGTGCCCGCTCTTAGGGGATTTTCTTTCTGTGCTCTACCACTGAGCTGTACACCCCGCTCTCTGCACTTGGGGCTTCATGGTCCTGCAGCAGCATACCTCACCAGGCTGGGAGAGCTCCTGGGTCTTCTCTGACCCAGCAGTGGGTGGAGCTAGGCACAGGACTGGGGAGGCTTGATCTCCATTTCCATCGGCAGCCTCCTCCGTACACTCCCATCCATCCTAGGACACCCTATCGAGCTATCTCCTTCCGTTCACAGCCCATGTGGTCAGAGTCATGGGTGTTTACCTCAGTGAACAGCACCCCCCCCCCCCATTTCCATTGGCCTCTTCTGGTCCTCACATCCTTACAAAGTACCTGTCTGTTAAGACATCCCTTTCCTTTCAGGTCTCTTACCCCAGGATTCCAGCAGTGGGGAGGGGAAGAATTTGTGCCGCTCGCATTCCAGACAACCTAACCTCCTAGAGCCTCAGATACCTTACTCGGCTGAGTGTGGGAGGCCTCCTGGGCACAGCAAAGTCTCATTTCTCACCCTTCTTGTCCAACCAGAGGCCCATTTACTTCTCCCACACACTCAGTCATTTCACAACACATCCTGAACATAGGTAAGAAGCCTGGTCCAGGGCTGGGTGCAGTGGAGCAAAAACCAGCAAAGGGCCAGTCCCTCATCATCCTTCAACGCCAGTCACATCTCCCTCAGCTTCCCTGTCTGATGGATGGTACAGAGTGGAAGCTGAAAGCAAGGCTCCAATAGCAAAACTGGCATTGATTAGTTCCCATCCTTCCCACGCCTGAGGACCTTGCGTGCGACGTTACACGATTTCCCCATATATAAAACAGGTCTCACACTCTGTGGGAGTAAGAGACGAAGCGTGCAAAGTCGATTTCTATGGCATACGAACATGCAGGTTTCTCTCTTTCTCCAAAGCCTCTCAGCATTCCTCCAATCAAGCATCGGGGCTCTGTGATGACCCTGCCACCCTGGATTTCCAGGGACAGCGAATCCTGAGCGGATGCCCCCTCATTCCATGCCTTATCCCCAGTGCTTCCTTCCTGGCCCCTCCTCGCAGCCACCCCGCTACTCTTCAGCACCTCAGAGCCAAGCTCTCAACACAAACTTGAACCTGCCGGTCCTGTGCCCAAGTATCGCTCTTTGCAGCCTCTGCCTTATGGTTCAAGTCTCCTGTCCCTTCTGACTCGGAGATCCCCTCAAATCCCAGGAGCCCAGGCCTTTCATCGCGACGCGGATCGGTCTGGAGTTGCGGACTCAAGAGTCGCCTTAGGTTTCAACTTGCACCTAAGATCACCTGGGATGGCGCTAGTGTGGGGTGCCTGGAGTTGGGTGCGGGGTGGGGTGTCCCGAGTCCTCAATCCCAGCCCGGGAGAAGGTAGACGCCCGCCCGGAGCGCCCTCTTGGGGACCTCGGGGGACCGACCTCCAGCGCAGACGCAAGGCGTCGGGAAGTGCGCACCCAAGTGCGGGGTCGGGCGGGGATCAGTGGGGAAATGATTCACGCTGGAGGATCGGACCCAGAGGCGGTGTGCCCCGGACTCCCCAGAGAGCGAGTAAGGATCCGAAGGAGCCAGGCTAAGGATGTAGTTCACCACGGACCATAGACCAAGGACTGGGATCTGGCCACAGCCCCTCCACCCTGTCCGTGACCCGGCTGCAGTCCCCGCCCGTTCTTTCCTGCTCCCCGCGGTCCCAGCCCCCAGCCCCCGGCTCCCCCCCGGCTTTCCGGGCTCCGGAGGGCGTCGGTACACCCAGGCTCCCAAGCTGCCCGTCCCTCCTCCCGCCCCGTCGGTGCGGTCTCACCACTGGCCCCTGGAGCGCCGCAGCTCCCGGGCGGTTAAGCTGGGCTGGGGCTTGGGTTGTGGCCCGGGCGCTCACCGTGGAGGAGTCCGAGGCAGAGCCACAGGCGCAGGCTCAGTGCGGCGCCCGGCTGCATCTCCGGCCCCTGGGCGCGGGTGGGACCTACGCGGCCGCAGCTCTGGGCTGGGAGTGAGAGCGCGCGCCTAGGCGCCGACCGGGCGCGGACCGGGCAGCGGACCGGGGGCGGGGCCGAGGCAGCCCGGGGCGGGGCTCGGGGGGTGGGGGTGGGAGGAGGGTCACCGTAGCCTCAGCCCGCCCCTCGCCCCTCTCTGTTCCTTCCAGCCGGTCCGAGCAGAATACAGCCCCAGTACGGAGAGCGCCCACTTTGCGCAGTCTACGCCAAAGGCTCCCTGTCCCAAACTAGCCCCCGTCCTGGGCCACCGCGGGCGGGCGAGGCGCGCAGGTGACTGCACTGTCCCCCGGGCGCGTTGTGGCGTCGGGGAGTGAACAAAACCGGGCAGTGATGTTTTCCTGTATTTCCCGTCCATCAGTGAGCAAAGTGGCAACGAACATAAGGTTAAAACAGCTGTACGTTAAGTCTTAGCGAGCACCGTGCAGATAGTGTGAATGGAGCGCTGCAGGTAACTGCCTCCCCACTCCCTCTGGAGGACTGGCTTGTTCGCTTTAGCTTCCCCACCGAATACTTTTGCTCTGAGCTCATTCATAAGTCTTTTTTATCAGGTGACACTTCACTTTCTGTTTTGGCAAACGCTCTCGCACAGACTTCCTTTCTCTTTGTAGTTCTTTTGCTAGAATTTTCCTATTTCAAAATAAATTCGAATGACAATGACGATTTCAACTTCTGCTTTTATTAATCTGTTCACACTGTTCCCACGCTCCCCACTTCCCAGGCCTCGGTCATCCTTGCCAAAAATCAAGGCCAGACTGATGATGATGATGATGATGATGATGATGATGATGGCCGTTTTGAAGTCTCCCACTCTCAAGCACAAGAAAACTGAATAGGAATGAAACTGCTACTTATGTATGTTTTCAATGCAGGCAGACGGCGCTGACTAGTTTTTTAATTTTATTTAGCTTGTACTGGAATTCCGTTATGGTATTAATTGGCTTTTCCCTAACTGCCGCTGAGGCTGAACACATTTTTTTATAACTGGCCATTTGGGTTTTAAATCTTTTGCTCTAGCGCCTGTCGTTTTTCTTACCGATCTGCAAGGAGGCTGCTTTGTTGTTTTTAAATAAATTCTGTGTTTCCTTGCTTAGCCTTGTTTGTTGTGGCCATGTAACAGTTTACCTCATAATGTGAGACACAAAGTGACAATTCTTTCTTCTCTCTCTCTCTCTCTCTCTCTCTCTCTCTCTCTCTCTCTCTCTCTCTCTCTCCCTTGGCTTTTCAAGACAGGTTTTCTTCTTGTAGCTCTGGCTGTCCTGGAAATAGCTATGTAGAACAGGTTAGTCTTAAACTCAGAGATCTGTCTGCCTCTGCTTCTGGAGTGCCGGGATTAAAGGCAAGTGTTTTTTGTTGTTTTTTGGTTTTATAAGACAGGGTTTCTCTGTGTAGCTTTGTGCCTTTCCTGGAACTCGCTTTGGAGACCAGGCTGGCCTTGAACTCACAGAGATCTGCCTGCCTCTGCCTCCGGAGTGCTGGGATTAAAGGCGTGCACCACCACCGCCGGGCTAAAGGCATGTGTCACCACACCCAGCTGCGAAAAGGCAACTCTTACCTCATTCTTGTTTGGGGAAATTAGGAGCCTGAAAGAGGCATTTTTGTGGTTCTTGATTGGGCTGTTAGCAATCTGAAGGTGCCATTGAATGGGCAGGCTTGGTGGGGGGCGGTGTCACTGTCACTGATGATCCGCTGGACAGGGCAAAGCAAGAAGTGTGGGGTGGGAGATAGTGTGGATGCCATCTTTGGGAAACACCTTGGTCACCGAGGTAACAAATCCCCTCTCCCATTCAGCATCTTATTTTTTATTCTTTTTGAGATAGAATATCATTCTGTCGCCTAGGCTGTCCTCAAACTCTTGGGCTCAAACAGTCCTTCTGCCTCAGCCTCCTGATGCATGCCACGGCTCTTCCTCACTCTTTATAGTTATCTTAGGACTGGGAGACAATGGTGGTATTAGTTCAGTGCAGCACCTTTATGAGTCAATCATTTTCCTTTTGGCTAGTGTCATTTATATACATTCAAAGAAATCTTTTTCTGTCTTAATATCACAAAGACATTCACTGCCTTTGTCACTGACAAATTCTCATTGTTTTTCTTTTACATTTAGACCCCCAGGCACTTGTAATGGCTGTGAGGTAGAGAAGGGTCAAGCTTACCTTCTTTTTCTCCGTAACCATCTGTGAAGCGACCATTCTTTCTGCATTGCTTTTCGTTTCTGCCTTGGCTGTAAACAGCATCTGTTTGGAAGGGACTGTTTCTGGGCTTTGTCTCGCTGTCAGGTTTTGTTCTGATCCACCCTGGTTGACCCTTTGCTTCATATCTGGAAGTATAAACCCTCCTAACTTACTCTTCAAAAGTGACTTCAGTTCTCTACAAGTTACACCTCCCTCCGTTCACATTTCAGACTCATTTCTGTCAGTTTCTAGACATTTTTGATATCCCGGGATACTGATTTAAATAATTAGTCTATCAGCAATTTGGGAAAGCTGACTTCCTTTCAACCCACAAGCATCGAATATTGTTCCATTTTAGGACTTATCCGCCAGTCACCTTTCATAGTTTTGTGTGTCAAGCTCTTGAACATTGTTAGACTTAGCCCCAGATAGTTAATATTCCTATGTATTTGAACAGATAAACATATGTGGACATTTCATTTTCTAATTATTTGCTGCTTTAATATGAAAACATTTGCTGTTTTTAAAAGTTGGTGCTATTTTAGAGCCCATTGGATATTTGGACATAGAAATATAATTGATCAGAAATATGATTTGTAAATGTTATATCTGCACTTTGTCTTGCCATTCTCTTAAGAGGTTCCTGTCTTTTGGGGGATCTGGGAATATGGTTTAGTGGTTAACAACACCTAATGCTCTTGCAGAAGACCTGGGTTCAATTTCCAGCATCCACATTCAGCTCCCAACCACTTGTAACTCCAGATCCAGGAGATTTGTTTCATCTTCTGGCCTCTGTGGCACTGCATACATGTTATGCATACTTACAAATAACCAAATCACTCAGACACATAAAATGAAAATAAGTAAATCTCAAACCTTTTAAACTTCTCTTTACTTTATGTATATGTATGTCTGTGTACTACCTGCACGCAGTGCCAGAGGAGGTCAAGTGTTAGATCCCCTGGGACTGGAGTTAGAGACGGTTGTGAGCTGCCATGTGGCTTCTGAGAACTGAATCTGGGTCCTCTACAAGAGCAACCCAAGCTCTTACCCACTGATCCATCTCTCCAGTCCCAAAGATAAATCAATTAAAAAAATAATGTATTTTGTAAAGCAGAAGTTTTTGGCTTTGATGAAGTTCAGTTCATTGATTTGCTATGTTCTGGACCATAATCTCATATAGGTTTCATCTCCTTGACCCACATATGCCCTTAGACAGACAGTTGAGATTTTTATAGGCCTTACCTGGTTTGCTGCCCAACATATAAAAGGGCTTGCTTTCTAGTTGTTCATGGTAGAAAGGAAAAGGTATTCTGGTCAAACTGGAAATCGTCTCACTTTTTATTATCGGCATATACTCTGCTTTGAAGAGCCTGCTCGATTCTTTCATCCACTTTCTACTGCCTGTCATTCTCTTGTGAATCTGTAAAAGTTCCTCACTCAGCCACACACCACTGAATGGTGGGAGAGGGGTGTTCCAAGCAGCATGCTGTCAAGTGATTTTTGTCATTCGATATCATAGCATATACTCACACAAACCTCACGTCTAGGATTTAGGATGTATACAAGGTACAGTCTATTTCTCCTTTTGTCGTGATACCAAAACAACAAGAGATTAAATCAAGCACGAGAAACTCATGCAAGAAATACGAAGTTATATAGCCATTGCTGGCTTAACACGGCCCATTTACTGTTTCATGGTAAGTGCTTTTGCAGGTTGTCTTAGCCAGAGATACTATTGCTGTGATGAAACACCTTCACCAAAGCAACTTGTGGAGGAAAGAGTTTATTCAGCTTACACTTCCATATCATAGTTCTTCATCAAAGGAAGTCAGGACAAGAACTCAAGCAGGGCAAGAACCCGGAGGCAGGAGCTGATGCAGAGGCCATGGAGGGGTGCTGCTTACTGGCTTGCTCTCCGTGGCTTGCTCTACTTGCTTTCTTACAGAACCCAGGACCACCAGACCAGGGATGGCCCCATCCATAATGGGCTGGGCCCTCCCACATCAAATCCCTTAAAGAAAATGCCTCACAGCCAAATCTTATGGAAGCATTTTCTCAACTGAGGTTCCCTCCTTTCAGATAACTCTAGTTTGTGTGTCACGTTGACATAAGACTAGCGAACACACAGATGCGGGGTGGCTAATCTTGATTGCCAGTGTGTCATAGCTGGGATGAAGGACCCAATTGAAGAATTGCCTCCATTGGATTGGCCTGTGCATGTCCGTGGGAGTACTTCCTTTATTCTTAACTAATGTAGGGGGACCCAGAACACTGGGTAGTTCCATTCCTAGGTATACCGGCCTGGGCTGTATAAGAAAGGTAGCTGAACAAGCCGTGGAAGCGAGCTCCTTCCTTTGTGTTTTCTGCTTCCAGTTCCTGCCTTCATTTCCTGGCTTGACTTCCCTGGATGGTGGGCTGTAATCTGCAAAATGAAATAAACCCTGTCCTCCCAAAGTTGCTTTTGGTCATGGCATTTGTCACAACAGAGAAGGGAGCTAAGACGTAGAAGCAACACATTAGAGTGGTGAGAAGCTGGCGGCCCCTTTCATCACCATTGAGCACACGTACTTCCCGGAACTCTGGCTGTCATGCCTCTTTGTGGTTGTGTGGTGGATTTCTTTCCCTTGGGTGTGTATGGTGACTTTCCAATTTTGTCTATATAAACAACTGCTTTTGAAGGTCCTAGCCTTTAACAGCTGGCTTAAAGTGGAGGAAAATAAAAAATGAAGGAGGAAAAATGTCACCTTCCTTTAAACATCCTAGAAGTTGATTCAGCAAGGATGTGGGGTTTGTGGAAGGAGGAGCAAAGATGGCTGCCGCTTCTCCAGCTGC